AACTTTTGGGTTGTTCATATGAGAAAATCAAAATTAAGAGTCAAGTGGAAAGCAGTGACCTTGGGATATAAAAGGTTACCATGTATTTTATCCATCGGTCCACATTATATAAAATCAGTTGAGTTATCGACCAACATTGATCCTTCTTTTAAATCCCAACTAAAACTTAGATGGTAGTAGTTTCCAACAGAGAGTGACTTTATTTTCCAACCAATGTCAAAACACACCATCTGCTTTACCAGAGAACCAGTTTTTAAGCTCTGACGGAAGCCAAGGTGCTCCACATGAGAAACATAAACGTCATGCCAACTGTGTCTCTCTTAAACTTTGAGAAACTTGTCCTTAGTTATGACTTCTGACAGATGTGACTGAAATCCATCACATCCAATTTTCACAGCGGCAAAGCAGCTGCAGCAGGACATTATGTCAGGCAAAGCCTTGTATCGGCGAAGTGACAACTACAGCGCACAATCAGGTGGGCCAAGTGATGCAACAGAGACTGCTCAACTGGTTCCACAGGAGGCGTTCCTCCGGAGAAGTGCCGACACTCATCGCAATGACACAAGCTGTCTGCCCATATAGTTCTGTGTCAGTCAAGCAGAAGAGCCCCTTTACAAGGAGGGCTCTCCATTAAGAGACACAGGCACAACAAGGCAGCACACAAATAGAACCTCTCAGCAGCCCCCCTGCTGAATTATTGGCTTACATTTTAGGAAAGCATCCTTTCTACTAAATTGTGGTTTCAAGTTAAAAAGCCCAGAACATTGTGCATCTATTAAAAAGAAAAAAAAAATCTAGCAACAGCATTTTTAATGCAAATTAAGTCCTCAAAAAATTACCAAGTATAGTGAACTATCAGATTTGTATTAGTGAGATGATATCACAAGCTATGTTTACATGGACACAATCGTATTGAAGGCCTGATCAGATCCAAAATGTTTCATCAAAACATGTCAGACTGACGAGTAAATCACACCCATCATGGCGATTCGATTCAGTATCAATTTTCTAACCTAACGATTCGATTATTTTCTATACTCAAGAATACACCACAATACGATTCGATTAATTGGTTAATATTTTAACCTTACAGGGTGGACAATGTTTCAAATTTGAAATAACTCAATGAAAGCTGTAATATCGTTATGCATTTTATTTGATAAACAACAGCAAATAACAAAGTAGCAAAGTTGTTCCAGTAGCAAATGGATAAAAAGAGACCAGAGGAAAAAAAAAAAAAAACATGATTCGATACTCTTGCGGACGTGACGATGCATCGGATTGCGGCTGTTGGATCGATGCATCGATACAAAACGATTATCATTTACACCCCTATTCAATTTGGTCCAACTGGTAAGAAATATCATTCCTGAACAGAGGGGTGTTTTTTTATTTGATCCATCATTTTAATAATTAAATATCATTTTAATATATCCATCATATTTAAAGATCCATCCAGCTGGATCTTAAAATAATCTCCACTGCTCATGTGCGTAACCTGAGCATGACTTTTTCCTCTCCACTCCTAACCTTCATCCACTTGCTCCTGGTTCTTGGTGGAGTAGGTGGCACTAATCGTGCAGTTGAACACGCCATCCTGCCGACTACCCCCATAGGGAAGGTGTGTTAGCATAAGTTACTGCTGAGTCCTTAACTAAATTGACCACTAAAAACACAAGTATGGATACAAAGATGTGATGAAGGTCCATAATAGAGGAAAAAAAACTACATCAACAGACATCACTGAAGAACTGAGAGAAACTAAATGTGAGGAATTAGAAGAAAGAGTAGCTAAAGTGGAGGATGAGCACGCTTACATGATTTAAACCAAACAAATGCTTGGTGCATGTGTATACATGTCAAGATCGAACAATTTTATTAAAGTGTCCATGAAAATAGATTTGGAATTTCTGTGCAGATCTTTTTTCCTTTAGTTTTGCAGTCAGGCCAAATTATGTTTAATGTATAATTTTTTTTTTTTTTTAAATAGCCCTTTTCTTTTAGAAAATAATTCGAAAAAAGTCATATATATCCAGTTACTTTTCCTCAAATACATCTAAATAAACAAATTCCCTTTACGGGTCACCTAACTAGTAAACAGAGTCGACCTGCTGTGTGGATTGTAATCTGAGATGAATACAGCTGCACTCTCCAACAGAGGCATAGCCAGAAAATTTTATAAGGGTGGCCAGTCAGTAACCAATGTACACTGAGGGGTGGCCGAAATTAGACAGGCACTAAAACCTCAGGGTCAATCTTCACTGTTCCAACAGGAAAATTAAACAGTAAAACATCCATATTTTCTAAATAAAGACCAACTATATTTTCCCAAAGCCTTTGCTTACAAATAGACGAATATATTCAAACATCCCTGCTTTCTAGATAAAAGGTATAATGGATAAAATTGTTTCAGGTTTGTTTTTTGGACGAACATCTCTTCCATTGTCATTACTTACCTACTTTTATCAGTAATAATTCAGCATAAATTTGATATTTACAATTACAAATATCTACATAAATTGATTATTTAATATGTTTTTATTAAAATAGGTATTTATCTATGATTTCACTGAAGACTCCTCGATGACTTTTCTCTTTACCCCATAAACACAAAATCTATTTCTGCTTGAATTCTGTATTTATCATCTTTAATGTTAGTATATTAATGTGCATAATGAACCACAGTCTTTTTGTTGTTAATATATGAAAAATTTAAATGTTTTGAACATTCCACGCGAGAGTATTACTATTGCCACCATCTGTGTTAAAGGGAAATAAATGGTAGGGGTGGCCAATGATTGGCTAACCCCGAAATCCCACATACTCCGTCAGCGCTCCGCTCCGCTGCGCTCCAGACCGCCTGAGCAAAGTAAAGCCTAGAGCCTCCGCTGTGGCTCCCGTCCGCTCTGCTCTGAGTTCCTTGGAGATCGTAGAGAGCATGCGCGAGATGAACCAGGGTTTCCGCGGATCATTAAAAATAATAACAATTCATACATTTTTTTTTAAATCAAGGCCTTAATTGGCACTAAAAGTAATTAAATAAGTTTATCGTGGCATTTAAAATTCTTTAATAAAAATTTTTTATAAAAACAATTTCGTCAGATATATTATATCGCTATTAATTTGCGTGGAACTGATCATAAAGCCGTATGTTCGGAAAAAAAGCTTGAGGCGGAGAAAAAGCTAGAGAATATATATATATATATATGTATATGTATGTGAGTGTGTGTGTTTTTACATACATAAAAGAGTCATGGAACTGTGCTTACAGCTCCTTAATATTTCATGTACACTAATAACTTGTGTACATGGTTCTTGTTGATGGCATTAAAATAATTTCTAATAGCATTAAATTAGAGTCACTCATTCCTGTATGAACCCTGTGAGCGCTTAATTTAATATGACATATTAAAAAAAATCCCCATCAGCCTTCAGCATATGTTCAGTTCCTGCCCAAATATATGTATATATATTTTTTGTAGATTTTTGTAATGGGGATAACTATGATCATTCAAAACTTCCTTTTTTGAATGAACTTTGTTTGTTCTCTACTCCCAAACTCAGCATCTCTTCATCCATTCCTGTAATGAGAAGTGTCTTTTGAATGGATTTGATTAAACTTTAAGTCCCTCTGTGAATAACCAATAGTTTGCATCGTATCATTTAAATAAACGATGTTAGTTTTTTTGGAATATATAATAATTACGCTATAATTTCTAGTTACCGATTTGTTGCTACTATATTTCAATTTGACGAACAGGAATTTGTCAATGTTCTTTTTCCTGTTTGGTGCGACTGCAATAGCGGGTCTTGACCTGGCCGGACCGGAGCAGAGCAAAAAATAGCTCGGCTCCGTATTTTGTTGGTGAAGGACGGAGAAGACGTACGTGGACGGAGACGTGCGGAGGAGTAGCGGTGGATGTGGAACAGCTCTCATTGATTTACATGAAAGACAAGCGCTCCGCACGACCTATGTCAGGGGAATGCTGACTGAGTATGTGGAATCTGGGGGTAAGGGTGGACATGGCCACCTCTGGCCCCCCATCTGGCTCTGCCCCTGCAATACACGTTTTTTTTGACAACACTCTGAAACATGAAGCATGCATTTGCATTCAAACTTCTTTTACTATTGCATACCTAAAGAGAGAGCTTTCAATAGTCTCCTTATCAGTAAATAGGCTTGCGTGTGGTGTAATCTCAGCAGAAATACAGCTGTTTTACTGAAGGCCTCGCACGTTTGCTTGTGAACATTAGTAAAATTCAGGAAAAAAATAAAGTTGCAGATGACCATATTTCAAAAAAAATCACGCCGAAAATAATATTTCAGCAATTGTGAACACGATGCATCGTGACGCTTCCCAAAAGAAAAATACACACACGTTTAGCAAAGGGAGAGAGTCCTCAAAGCACTGTGAATAATTTCGACAACTTTATCTGACGTGGCAAGTAGCAAATACGGGTTTTAAAGAAAGAAAAAACAACAACAAAAAGGAGCGTTTCAACACATGGCGTTGAGCTTCACTGGCTGATATTCTGCCTGAACAGCGAGCAGCTAAAACCGTTAGCATGCTAACTTCTGCCCCCCCTCTGCTAAACTGGCTAACTTCGTCCCGGTGTTGTAGGAGCGGGTCACTCGCTAACTCAGCACAAAAATAACAATAAAAACTGAAGGTGTTGTGCACGTTGAATTTCAACTTTGACAATATCCGCTCGAGCAAGTCCAAATTAAATAAAAACAGCACGGGAGCAATGCGGTCATTTCTTTGCAAGCTCTATTTTATTTTTTGTTTGCTGCAGAAAACACAACTGCCACAAGCAGCGGAGGGGGGGATCCTAGCCAAGAAGCTAATGCTAACAAGCTAACGCCAAAGCCAGGGAGCCTCTGTCAAGACAGACGCACGAACCGAGATTGGAGACCTCTCCGCGCAGTGTGGCGGATTTCACAGCGAAAACAGACAGTTTGTTGTCAAACAGAAACAAAGAGGCGTATGGCTACTTACGCTTTGAAACTTTCCGCCGAGTCCACGCTGTTTAAATCCCGTTTATCCCAGCCAGCTCTGACCTTCGCGGTAGTGAAACAACATTTCTGCTGGCTAACTGTGCCGCCATGTTCCCCCTGCTCTCTGCAAACCAATGCTGAGTGTTTATCTGGCTGGTAGCTGCTGCTGCTGCTGCTATCCTCCCCCACACACACCAAACCACATCACGGGGCTCCGAGCGCAAATCGACTCAGTTACCGCCGGGGGTGGGGGCTCCTGAGCTTTACCGAGGCGCTTTACCTGTTAGGATTACGGTACTTGCCGTATGATTAATCAGCATCATTATGACGACAGTTAATCTGCCAACCGCTGCAAGTTTCACTACGGTGTGATTATTTTTTTAACAATTGTTTTTAAACGGAAGTTGTGATTAAAAGGATACTAGGTACCCCCCTCCCATCACCACCACCATTAACTGTGGTTTTAGAATAATAATGTTCATTGTTTATATATTATTACAACTAATTCACAGAAGCAAAAACAAAATAAATGTAAATTTAAGACCATGGACGCCACACATTACGCCATTACATCAAACAAAAACGGTTTTTAACATTAATTTTGGGGCTTTTAAAAGTTATATCACTTAAATGTTCCATTTTTTATGCTTTTTGATAACCTAATACATTATCTTAATATTTTAGCTGGCACTTCAAATAAACGTCAAACAAAACATCCTCCTCCTAAAATCATAAATCTTTACAATAAACGTGGACTTATTTGGTTTATCTTGATTTACTGTCTTGGTCAAACGTCCATAGTTCAGAAACAGCAGGCGACTTTTCGATCAATTTCTATCCAACAGCGCCCCCTAGAGGCATGTTGGCTGATTGTATCAACCGGCGCTGAGGTCGTGTCCTCATTTTAGAGATTGAAGATGTTTTGGTGGGAGTTGAGAAGGGTCACAAAGCAGCTCATAAGGCATATTATTAATTTTTTAGCTAAAATGATGGCTCTGATGATGATACGCCTTAAAATAATACAGGTTAATTAATGAATAAACAAGACCTGGCAAATAAAAAGATAACAGTGATCATATAAAGAAAATAACACAAGAGCTGCACAGTGAAGCAGCTGATTTAATTTAATTTATTTATTTATTTATTTGACAGGGACAGTGTACATTAAAAAAGCATTCCTGCAAATGCACCAGAATTAGCCAAAAGGCTATTTTTCATCTGTTGTCCCTGGACAGATCTTAAAATTGTCTGCCTAAAAAAACACAACAGTAAGCATTTTAAGCATTTTTTAAGGAAAAAAACAAATATAAAAAGAAAATAAAAACAGCTATACTATAACTATTCAAAACTGATTTAAAAATACAGAATAAGTCTTCGCTAGACTACAGCTTTTAGGTTCATAAAATAGAATGATGTGTTATGAGCCAGTTTGTTAGATGTTTTTTGAAAAGAGTGTATGTTGTAAGTAGGGCTCCAGTGCCTGCCTTGTAGCAAGAAGGTTCTGGGTTTGATTCCTGGCTCGTTCGATTTTTCGTGTTTGGAGCTTGTGTGGGTTCTCTCCGGGTACTCCGGCTTCCTCCCACAGTCCAAAAACATGACTCTTAATTGGTTAATTGGCTTCTCTGAATTCTCCTTAGGTTTGAGTGTGTGCATGAATGGTTGCTTGTCCTGTTTGTCTCTGTGTTACCCTGCGATGGACTGGCGACCTGTCCAGGGTGTACCCCGCCTCTAGCACCGTAGACAGCTGGAGATGGGCACCAGCAACCCTTGAGACCCCAATCAGGATAATGTGTGTCAGATAATGGATGGATGGTATGTTGTAAGTTCTCTGAAGTTCCATTCCTGAGCTGCTGTGACTGCAAAGGCTCTTTGACTAAAAGCACTTTTACGCAGAGCAACAGCAGTCTCCTATAGCCGACCCTCGTGCTACTGTCGGCGTGTTCCTGATTTTTACAAACTGACTGAGTGGAGGAGATGACAGACCATGGATTATTTTGAAAAACAGAGTTTTGCATACCTGATGACATTTTCCCAGCTTAAAAGCTTATATTTTAATATAATGGCACAATGGTGATATTTTGTTTTGTTTTTTTATCCAAAATATTTATTGTCTGTCTGTAAAAATATTCCAAAGGTTTTAGTGTTGTTTTATTTCCATGTGACCAGGTTGTAAGACAGTAGATGATGCGGGACAGAACCATACTGTACATGAACATTTTAGCTGCCTGGAGTGACAAGTTTGATCTTATGAAACAGAAATGTTTATTATTGAAATTGACTCTATGTTGTTTGGCGCTAAATAGGTTCTGGTTTTAAAATCTGGCTTCATTGGGCTGGTATGTTCTCCCTGTGGATGTGAGGCACTCCAGCTTCCAAACATGTTCCAATAATGTTACTGTTAGGTTAATGTGTCTCTATAAAGTTGTCCTTCGGTATATATGCAAATTTGAGTTTTTTATTGTTTTGTGGGTGTCTTTGTTCCCTGTCCAGGGTGTACCCAACTCCTGCCCAATGAACACTGGAGATAGATACCAGTCTGCCCACAGATAGAATAGAATAGAAAATCCCTTTATTGTCCCACAGTGGGAAATTCTGGTGTTTACAGCAGAAAAAATTAGAAACAATATGGTCAAACAAATATGGACCTTAGCAAAAAGGAAAAGAATAACATAATAGTGAAGAGTTAAAAGATAAACAATAAAATACTGTACTGTAAAGTGTTTTAACAATATAGAAGCCGTCCAGCTGGAGAATAAATAACCAATATATAGCTGTGGACATTTTTACAGTAATCTTATTTGCAAATAGCGGCAACATCAGAGACGTGCAAAATGACAGCAGCATGTTTTTTTAACTGACTAAGATATAAACTGTACAAAACCAGCCTGACTGTAGTAACTTATTGAGGTTATTGGGAACAGTGGTGGTTATAGTCTTCCAGCTGCTGGGAGGAAGGATCTGTGATAACGCTCACTGGTGCATTTAGGGTGCAGCCGTCTGTCACTGAAGGAGCTCTCAAGTTCTGCAACAGCTTCATGCATGGGGTGCTACAATGTTAATTTAGTTAGGATCCTTTTGTTTTCCACTTCCTGCACTGAGTCCAGAGGGCATCCAATCACAGAGCTGGCCTTCCTGATCAGCTTATCCGGCCGCTTTCTCTCAGTTATAGATAAGCCACTGCTCCAACAGACAGCTCCATAGAAGATGGTTGATGCCACAACAGAGTCATAGTTTTGCAAGGACAAAGATTATGGTAATGGTTGAATGTTCTTCTTCATATCTTGTCTGCTCAGCAGTATTTTTGATGATATGCCAACTCTATTACATTGAGATCTGGGGAATGACCTAGATCTAAATGTATTGTTATAAACTGATGTTAGTGGACTCTGTGAGATTGTTAAAAAAATGCATATAAGGGCTGTTTTTCCTTTGCCTACGTCAACATGACTTCAAGCATTTTCAGTCCGATTCATAAGTTGCTGTATGGTGTAATTAATTTTTGCTCCATATGAGAGATATACCTGTAGCATGATGTTTCCGCCATCATGCTTCACAGTGTACTAGGAGTTGGTTTTTATTTTGTATCTAATCCCCTTAGACTGAAAAGAGATAATATTGCCTCCCTCAATTCACAGTAAGTTCTTCACGCTGCTGCCTGTGCTTTATTCATTGTTTATACCCATGCATCATCACTGAGTTTTTGACACTTATGCTCATTGGCAGAGTGTCTGAGGACAACCTAAACAGATCAGTAACACATAATCATGCATATTCTTTTGCCTATTTAAAATGGATCAATCAAACCAAATTGCATGGTTTTGGACCAAGGGAAGCAGGAGTACCACCGGAGTTGAGATTCAAACCAAGGAGTTTATTGCAAGTTAACATATAATAACTGTCCAACCATGCTGCTTCACTTTTAGTTGTCTTTTGCAAAGTGGAACCTCTCTGACACACAATTTTGAAACGGTGGAACTTTGGAGGATTTTCCAGTGGATCTTTTGGTCTCACATAAACATGTTCAAGTCGCAACTGTACATCAACCTGGAGTTTGGTCTTAATCTTTTCAGGTGTACTTCCGTCCATTCCAACTTACACCTTCTGGTTGTGTATTTACTTATTTATTTTTTTAGCACAACTATGTAGTCTGACATTTTCTGCACTTCTTCATACCATTGTTTTTACACCCTAATCACATTTTAATTAGATAAGATTTTAATGTCTAGATCAATGCATTTACCTCATATTTTCTGAGTAGACTATATAAACAAACATGGACATTTGCTGCCCTAACATTTAAACAAAAGCTATATAATTTAAAACTGAAAGAACCTCACTGATTATGCTCTAAATCATTATTTTTAAACAAAATAATTAAGCTTGACAATCAGCAGCATGCATATAACATTTTGTTTTTCATTGTATTGCTCAACTAAATCTTCTAGGGAATTTTATGCTGTACAGAAATACTACTTGCAGAGAAAATTATTGATCTGGATATTGTTGTTGAGGAGAGTTAATAGTAGAAGTACTAATCCTGACTAACTAATTTTAATATGTTGACAGAGTTGTGTAGAGTGCCCAAAAGTTGTACTTAGTGGCACTACTTCATATTCTTACTCAAGTAAAAATAAAACGTAGCCTTTATAGTAATTTTTAAATGAGAGTAAAGACGTATTACATAACAAGTACTAAATTACAGAGGAACTTATATGCTTACTACCTATGATTATAAAAACTGATTTATAAAATGATGTAAAACTGAACAAAATATTGATATGCTGGTGTTTCAAATAAAAAAGATGAACACAACATACAGTAATTACACAATAGAAAATAAATTTGCAGGAATGAACACTTGTCAAAATACCTTTGATTTTTTTTTTTTAAACTTACAAAATCAAGTTAAAGAATGAAGGACCAGGTGAAGATATCATACAACTTGGTGCAGCAGCTCTCCAAGGTGTGATCACTCCTTTTTAGCTGCAGACTAACGAGCAGGTCCAATCTGATGCAGGCGTTAGTTATGGGGATGGAGATTTTCAGGGTGATTCCATAATCTTTTATCTTTGCTTGGTCTAAAAAAAATAATTACTGAATACCAGATTTTTTTAATTGTATTTCTTTCAGTGTTTCTTGAAGCCAAACAGCTGCCATTTGAAATGACTAGTTTTGTGTCATATCTGATCTGGTTATGTTTGTTCAAAGTTAAACTGAATGAACATCCACTGATGCCGGTGATTCCATGATTTTTCCCAGAGGTGGTATACGGATTACTTTATTTTCACTCAACCTCTAAATGATTCGACAGATAGAAAATAACATTTAGCCAATAAACCCAGAGTAAAAAAAAAAACGAATGTCTCTCTCAAAGGTGGATATTTGTTTAAAATAAGTTTGTTTTCATTAAGCGAAGTTACAATGGATGGAGTAGCCAGAAAATGTACTCAGGACTAATGATATTTTATCATATTTTCATGTTCAAGTAAAAGTAAAAAGCACAAAGCACTACAAAGCTACACCTAAAAGTACCTTTTTTTTTTTCTTCAAAAATTTACTTAAGTAAATAAACCAGTTAATACCCACCTCTGTAGGTCACTGAAAATATATCCCTCTTGAATGGACGCCTACTGCAAAAAATTAAATAAAAAAAAAGAAGCATCCATTTTAACGAGATAATTTTATTTCTTTACAGGATATAGCCCCAGGGCAAATAAAAAAACCAAAAAAACAAATACTGCTCTAGTTATTTGTGGCTTGCTACACTGTATTAGCATTACTCAGGTAACAAAGTACAGCTGATTGGCCTCTGCTGCTTTATGGCGTGTAAGGAAAAGCCATTTGGCACAGTCAATACTCCGTAGGGGAACAAAGGGATAGAACAAAATATATAGATACGCCATTCGCATTCGGAATAACAGCCCATTGGTGGGCATTTTTAAAAAGGTAGGAAATAATTCATGATGGAACAAACACATTAAGAACATTCCACCTTAACATTAGGAAAGATGGACAACTCACACACACACACAAAAAAAATGTTTTTTCCTTTTTCTCCCTCATTCTTATCTCAATTAAAGGTAAAGAATTAAGAAGCAAAATGGGTCATTAACAGCATAACTAGAACTGTGACAACTTCCACAGAAACGTGTGACGGACATGTCATTGCAAAGCTCTTCCATACTGAATGCTACATTAGTTTACAATTTTATTTCTTTTTTTTTTGCTGGCAGTTCTGCACAATGCTGGACCATACATGGACTCATTTCCTTTGCCTAGGTCTATACACTCCTTTTCCATCCAAAGCCTATGTGATAGTTTCTTTTCTATTTACAGGCGTCATCTATGATAGACAGGAAGGTGAGGTAAAATGGAACACAGCATTTTAACAAAGTACTAAATGACCTGAAGTGGGGGGGAAAAATAAAGTGATCGTTCCTGATTTGATAAAATTACACTGTACAAAAAATAATAACGAAAAAAAAAAAAAAACAATCCACACCAGTAGGCACTTCTTAAATAAGGTCTTTTCCCCTCAGTTTATTTGTCGGTTTTTCAATAATACCACAGAAGGAAGAGCTTAAGGTTTTCTGAGCAATCGGCAACCAAAGCAAATCTGAACCAAGGAAATCCAGCTGGCAGGTTGGTCCTGTGTGGGGGGGTGAAAACACATCCCCTTAGATCAGGGACCCCTTAGACCGACCCACTGGACTGCTAGCTGGGAGGATCCTGGGATAGATGGTTCTTTTGAGATACAGGGGATTAGGCAGGCTGACGGGAATGTTTTTTTTCTCTTCTTTTCCTCTCCTCCTCAATACGTCTTTAAGATGATTTCTCTTTTCTCAATCTCGGTGAATCCGCGCCGTGTGAGCTCACTCCGTTTACGCCGTTGGCTGAAGAAAAACAAAAAGGGCACAGAGAGATGAGAGAGATTCATCGCGTTTCTTTAAAAGGTTTGAAAGTAAGGTGTTTTCTTTGCTCTCCCACCTTTATCTTTCTTCGACTTGCTCTTAGCAGCAGCCTTAGCAGGAGGCTTTTTCAAATTCTTGGCCTCGGCATGCTCTCTCCATCGACGCAGCTGGAAGTTGATAAACTTCCACATCATGAAGGCCTGAGTAAAGCAGATGGCTGACAGGACGGTCATCCTGGTGGATCAGAGTAACAATCACTTCTTTGAACAGTAAAAACAGGAGTCTTGTTTTCTCCTCACCAAAGTCATACAAGAGCTTTAACTGAAAGATGGTTGCATTTCACGCCTATTTTAAAAGCAGGTTTCAACATACAGAAAATATTTCATTATGACTGTTAAACCTCTTATCATATAATTTGCATTTTACACCTTAGAGTCCATCTTTCACACTACATGTGAAAGCAGATATTTATATTAACCATATAAAATGGCATAACCTCTAAACTTCCCCTTTACCAGAATTATTTCCATTTCTTACAGCCAGAAAACCGAGAGAGAAATGAAAAGGAAATGCTGAGTTGATTTAGAGCAGTTTCTGTATCAACATAATACTATCAACTAGAGGTCGGGCGATCATTTATTTTCTCTTTTTAGGCCGATGCCGTTTTTTTTTATTTAAAGGAGAAGTTCGGTTTTTTACACTTTAAGCCCATTTTCTGTAGTGTCCAGGATGAAATCGAATGAAGGACACCAAAATTTTGACAATTGCTCCTGTCTCTGCTTTTTGGCTCATTTAGAATCAACCCCTGGCTGCTTTAGAATGGCTAGCATAGAGCATGTCCGATAATGTCCTTAAAACAACCTTAAACGTTCTTTTTTTAAAATATGCTACTCACCGTGTCGTCAGCGCTGTTCAATGACGTTCCAAAAAAAGTTTCGTGAAGAAAAAACGTTCCTGTAGTGTTTTATTTAGCATTTTGTAAATCCCATTGAGTTCTGTAGGAATAGTCAATATTCCGCTGCCACCGGAAACGGAAATGGGGCCTGTTTACACAGTTGTAGTCTTTTCGCTTCACTCTGTGTACTCCGACGTCGAGGTGCTAACGTCTCTGTTAAACACTTTAAAAAACTCTGAAAATGGAATACGAAAGGTGGATTCTTGATTCTCGACGTCGGAGTACACAGAGTGAAGCGAAAAGACTACAACTGTGTAAACAGGCCCCATTTCCGTTTCCGGTGGCAGCGGAATATTGACTATTCCTACAGAACTCAATGGGATTTACAAAATGCTAAATAAAACACTACAGGAACGTTTTTTCTTCACGAAACTTTTTTTGGAACGTCATTGAACAGCGCTGACGACACGGTGAGTAGCATATTTTAAAAAAAGAACGTTTAAGGTTGTTTTAAGGACATTATCGGACATGCTCTATGCTAGCCATTCTAAAGCAGCCAGGGGTGGATTCTAAATGAGGCAAAAAGCAGAGACAGGACCAATTGTCAAAATTTTGGTGTCCTTCATTCGATTTCATCCTGGACACTACAGAAAATGGGCTTAAAGTGTAAAAAACCGAACTTCTCCTTTAATTTTTTTTAAATCGGTCTAGCTGATCGCGGATATGTTCTGCTGAAAATGTGTGTGTGCAGAGAGGGCCAAAAATCCAACAATGAGAAGCTTTGCAAAGGTACTAAAAATAAAAAAATTAGAACGCCATCATGTAATAATACAAATTTAACGTTATTGATCTCACATTGGAGAAATTAATCTCTGCATTTAACCCATTCCCCTGGGGAGCAGTGGGCTGCCATTGTGGGGCGCCCGGGGAGCAGTGAGGGGTTAAGGGTCTTGCTCAGGGACCCAGACTGCATGCTGTGGGGATCGGTACTTGCAACCTTCTCAGAGCACAACCGCACTGCTCTAACAACTAGACCAACACTCCCCCAAAAAGTACAAAATTATTAATCTTAAATTAGCGGTTGTGTTGATCCTAACTGTTCTGAATGACAATAAAAGAGAAAAATCTAATGTCAGTGAGAATGAAGAGTTTGTAGCACTTTTATACAGTGTAAACGTATGACTTCAGATTGATCCTACAAACCAGAACAGAAGAATTTGTTTGTTTCCTTTCCCTCATAAGATTTACTCACCGGACAAAGAAAACGTTAAAGTTCCCCGCAGCCAAATCGAATCCTTGGTTTTCAGCAGTGGAGAGGCCGAAGCCCACGGTTAGGACGGACAGGGACAGGGTGAGCAGTCGTCCAATCACAAACAAGACAGCCCAGATGGTGAAACTATGACACACAAACACATAAAAGGGAAATTTTCAAGCTGTCAAAAACCTTTTTCTGCCTCACTCCATTAATGAAAGAGGTGAGAGAGCTGAGAACTCACCCCATCTGCCTGTTCTCGTTGCTGAAGTAGACGAGACGCGAGACGTGGAACAGAAGCTCCACAAAATAGTGCAAAACCAGCAGGACCAGACCCAGACGGTTCAAACTGAAAGAGACGAGCCGACAGACAGAGTTAGAGGCAGAAATACATAACCAACCTCGTCTTAAATTGTGGCTTTTCCCTCGTCGGCAGCGTTTACTTAAGAATGTAGGCGCCAGCGATATGAACGAGGTACAGGAAGATGTACACAAGCTGGCGAGGAATATCCTCCTGAATGGTAAACACAGAGAGGAGGAGGCAAAAAGACGTCAAAATATTTACCCCAGCGTGGGATCGGCATGTTCATTTCAGCATGAAGACGATAGTTCTTTGAAACAATGCCACAAGGCCCAGGAAGTCAAACAGGAAAAAGCTGCAGAGGCCAAACAGCAATACTTACTTTCTTTGCCTTTTGGAAATACAGCTCTGGAAGAGCGTGTAACCAGTAGCCCATCTGGCAAATGTAGAAGAATTTCATCTGAAATCTGAAAAGAAGCAAGGCTTTTAAAATAACATCTTCCCCCTTTTGAGTTTATTCATGCGTCATCACTAAATATACACACTTACGGCATCAGCGTATGAGGATAACCCTCCCACAGGGCAACGGGATTGGACAGGAAGTTTTCCTAAGAACATAAAGCTTTTAAATACAATGTTTAGCCTGAACCTTAAGAGAGGAAACCAGAAAAAATAAACCAAAACCACAACTAGTCAAAAGGTCGGCATACAGATAGAAGGATGTTGGTGCCCCAAGCGAAAGAGAACAAGTAGAAGGCGCTGAGCTGGCCTGACTCATTGAACTTGCTGTGCTTGGTTTTGGAGAAGTGCTTTTTGCGGTTGAGTTTCTGCAGAGATAAAACATGAGAACGGGCCCAACGTGAAACCGTTAGAAGGTGTTCAAAAACCCCAGGCACTATTGTATCTTTTCTCACTTACGTCCAGCACGTACTCCTGGATAATGGCGTGCATGATGATGGCCACCAGCATGTAGAAGAAAACGGTGGCCAGGTCCTTGATGCCATGGTGGAAGTGGTTGACCGCCGTCTCCTCCGGGCCCTCTGGGAAACAGAATAGTCATGCAGAGTCAACGCCATACCCAGGATTTCAAAATTGTGCTTTTATCAGGTCAAGTGACTCGTTCATATCTAATACATCCAGACTATGTAGATTTTTTTTTTTTTTTACTTCTCGACCAGACTCCTTTATCTATTTGATTGGGATTGTATGGAATCAAACACAATGTAGTAAAGAAATCTAAAAGAACAGGGAAATTAATTTGTTATTTACATCAAGCTAAAAAGAGGAGTGCGCAGTGGCAAAAAAAAAAAAAACAAGCGCTGTGCAGGTTTACCTCCTGAAGAGCGAGAAAAATGACATACAGGTCAGTACGGAAGAGGATTAGGGCCACTGGAAAAAAAAAAAAAGTTAACTGATTTTTTTTTAATTTTATTTCAGTATAGTATGGGAAAAAAGTCAGAATTCTGACTTTAATCTCAGAATTCTGACTTTAATCTCAGAATTCTGACTTTTTTCTCAGAATTCTGACTGAATTCTGACAATAAAAAAAGTCAGAATTCTGAGATTAAAGTCAGAATTCTGAGAAAAAAGTCAGAATTCTGAGATTAAAGTCAGAATTCTGACTTTTTTTATTGTCAGAATTCAGTCAGAATTCTGAGAAAAAAGTCAGAATTCTGAGAAAAAAGTCAGAATTCTGAGAAAAAAGTCAGAATTCTGAGATTAAAGTCAGAATTCTGAGATTAAAGTCAGAATTCTGAGATTAAAGTCAGAATTCTGACTTTTTTCTCAGAATTCTGACTTTTTTCCCATGTTAAACTGAAATAAAATTTAAAAATCAGTTTACTTTTTTTTTCAGTGGCCCTAATCCTCTTCCGTAGGTCAGAGACATTGAGTTAGAAAGGGTCTAAAGTCTAAGCTTTGAATATTACACAGAGCATTGTTCAGTCTGTGATCTATAAAATAAAAAAATTAAAGAGCAGCACAGCTACTAAACTACGATGTCACGGACATCCACTAAACTAAGGGACTACAGAAGGATCAGAAAAAAAAGGAAAAACAGCCAATAGGCCTATGGAGCTGAAAAGAGAATCTGCGCAGGTGGATGCATACGCAGATAGAGTCGATTGTGCATTCAAAAATCTGACAATAAAAATATCACTGATAGGGAAAAAAATAACATAAAAAAGGAGCATATGCAGGATTTAGAAACAGCTGCTTCGGTTATGCAAAAAATAAAATAAAAAATATGGACAACTAGGAAAAAAAATTGGAATATTGAGCTTTAATAGACAGGAATCAGGAGTTTGATTAGAAAACAGATGGAGCTTAAAAACAGGAATAATCTGGAACAATTCTTGCAGAGAATGTCTGCAGTTGTAAACATACATCTGCAGCCATTATGGAATTGTTTAGATCAACCTGTGTTATGGCCTATTCAGGGTCCAAACATGTCTCCCTCTGATACGACTGACTTTGTGCTACTTTTTAAAGAGGGATGGTAGACAGCTGATACCATGTGAGCCGTAGATCTGCCAGGATTGACTGAACTAAATACACTGATTGGTGGTCACAGGTTGGGGCGGTGCTCTTTTTCTTTCCTCCTTTCTTTTGCAAGACTAAGATACACCTTAGTCACGATCCTAGACAATGAGACGTGTGGTCACAAAATTGGCCGCCCACTTAATGCGCCTTGGCTGGAGAGTCACAATTTTAATCATCCCGAATCCTGAAGGGCGGCCTTGGGATTACAAAGTCTCGACTGCGCAGAATTTCCCCACACAGACAACGATCCACTGTTGATACAGAGAAAATCTTTTAAGGTTTATCAACAGCTTGAAAAAAAAGCAACAAAAAAAGGCCTTTTGACATCTCTATTTGAGCAAAGATATGACTTGTAAATAAGTAACGGAGGACGGTTAGCAGAGAGACATCAGAGATAAAAACTCTCCCTCAGTGAAGCTGGATTCTATCAACAGTGCGTGAAGCTTGCAAAGAACAATGTTAACCTTGAAACCATAAGGAGATTGAATTGCAAGGCACATATTGCTCCTCAGCCCTGAATTCGTCCGCCACAACCTTGCCGCAAGAGAACTTTATAAATCAGGCAGACTAAATTTAGCTCTAAATGGAAGAGAGGATTAAAAAACATAATAAAAAGAGAGAGAAAGCTCTAAAATGGGTTCGTCTAAGGCCGTACAAGCACTGCTCCGGAATGCAAATCTACATGCAGTACAACACAAAGAAAATCCTGCATTATAGTATAAAAACCGAAAGATGCGGCACATCACTAATCAAAAAAAGCATACGAGTACAGGTCACTCACCATTTGTTGAAATGGTCACATTGTACTGGACAGTAATGAATAATACTGCAAACTTTGACGTGACCTGTGGAATTAGAAGGATATAAATATATCTATTAGCAACAAGATGATGAGCATTTTTTACTTCAACAGAAAAAAATATATAGAAAAATAAAAGTGTGGAAGAAAGTTAAAATGCCTGCCTATAGAATGATGTGGAAAACAGCAAAGTAGCTGCACTGCTACGGAGTAAAGGCGAGTTACAGTGACTAGGCTATTCAAATGGTGTTACAATGTAATGCCTGGGAAGGATTTCCATTTAAAAGTCCTAGATGTGGTGATAGATTAAAATACTTGAAGTACACCAGAAATCATTCAAGTGACGATGCTCAGTTGCGAAGTTCTCTTGCACACTTGGACCAATAAATAAAAGAAAGTATCACTTTTATTTTTATTTTTTTTAAACATGTGTTGTTTAACTTTTTTATTGACATTTATATGGATAATATAGTTGTATTAATAATTATGCTCTTACTGTTTGTCAAACTTTTTCTTCAAGTAATGTGACAGTATTTGTTTATTTGCATGGAACATAGTAAACATATGTAGCTCATGCCTAGGATACATGTATGTCTCTGTGTGATGACTCTTGAATCCACCACTGTCTCCTGTCAAAACTTTATATATATAAAGTATCACTTTATTGTTATTATTTACAACTATATTTAATAAACTACTAAAAACGCTCTGGACCTGTGAAGACTGTAGTCATTCTTTTTCTAAAACAGGTTTTCCTTCAACTAAACTATTTTTTTCCTGACCAAATGTATTTGGTTTTCTTTTTTCTGTTTGCACACCTGTTGTTTTAAGCTTAATATTGAGTTTTTAATAAAGTTTATATGCATCTACAAACTATAAGCAATAAAAAAATCATTAACAAAATAAATATTAGAAATACTGCTCTGTGTGCAATGAATATGTAGCTGCATATGTGCGAATCTTCAGTTTTTGAATTATTTGTATTCGTTTGTGAGAGCTGGACATAGATTTAAGCAATTACAGTCATTTTAAAAGACGAGTTGGACTAAAAGAACAGCTTAAGGGAAATTAAACGATCACCTTTTAATATAGAAACATATTAGCATCGTGTTTATACGGAAGAGGATTAGGGCCACTGAAAATCTAAAAAAAAAGGTACGCTGATTTTTACACTTTAATTCTGACTTTTTTTTTTCAGAATTCTGACTTTTAACTCAGAATTCTGACTGAATTGAACTGCCGTAGCCATATCTGTTTTAGAGACTAAACTAGCTCTCCAAACACCAAAGTGTTAGTGTTCCATCTTTACATCTTTGTCAGTGAAGCTGAGTGCTCCCACATCTCTTCCTTCATGGTGCCCATCTACATTAAGGTCCAAAATTCTGAGATTAAAGTCAGAATTGTGAGATTAAAGTCAGAATTGTGAGATTAAAGTCAGAATTGTGAGATTAAAGTCAGAATTGTGAGATTAAAGTCAGAATTGTGAGATTAAAGTCAGAATTGTGAGGAAAAAAAAGTCAGAATTGTGAGAAAAAAAGTCAGAATTGTGAGAAAAAAAGTCAGAATTGTGGGAAAAAAAGTCAGAATTGTGGGAAAAAAAAGTCAACTTTTTTATTTTTTCAGTGGCCCTAATCCTCCTCCATACATTTAAATTAGAAGTTAAGAAGAAATAAAATGCAAACCATCTCCAGGACAGTTTAGAGGCAGTAAAACACAGCTCACTGGCTGCTGAGAGCCAAAACTTTTATTTTGAAAAGTTTAATTCCGGAAGTAGTTCGGACGCGCACAGAAGCTGCGTCCCCAAAGCATGAAACCACAATAGGATTGAACAAACATGTGGTTTAAAGCGCTTCTGAATGTGGAGAAAATATTCCGTGGTGTTCGGTGATTCGCTCCCGGTTCCGTTAAAGGCCCATTTCGATTCTGGAGAGAAACTTTCTGTTTCGGTGCTTGCCTGGATGACAGCCCTGCCGACCGCTGACTGAATGCCACGTAACACTTTTACGCACAAACTAAGCAAACCGGGCTGTTGCAAAATCCCCAAACCACAGAACCCTAAGCTGCGCTTTAAACTCAAAATCCATTATATTCAATCAAGCTGTTCTATTTAATATTTAAACTTTAGTTTTATTAGCGTTGAATACTCGACTCAAAAGCGGGCCTGGAGACAAGTGTTTGGAAATATATTGATTTCAAGATGGGAAAGTGAGCCCTGCTCCCATTTTAAGCCTAAATCTACATAAAACACATTTAGAAGAACAGACAGGAAGCAATGAGTGTGGTAATAACAGCAAAGCGGGGCTATTCTACACAGCAAACTTTCGATCTTTAGGAGGAAGTAGTGAAGAATGGATCAGACAGCCATGTCAGTTTCTATAAGAGCAGATGGGAGGGAGAAATCTGCTTTCTGATCCACTAACTCTGCACCATCTAAAACTAAAAACAACATGTGGACTCACCTCAAACATCAGCCCGAGCAGGAAAACCATAGCAACACAGGAAACAATATCTGCATGGTTCTGGATCACAAACTCATGGCTCAGCACCGGCGGGTTCTTGTTGCTCTTTTTCCTGATCCCCATGTCGACGCGGTTTATAGAAGTTGCGCTTCACACTGATGCGATTCTTTTTTTTTTTTTCTGGGTTTAAGCCTCCCAGATGGGGGTTATCTTTCTGAGCTCTTAACGCGTCCTGCAGACACAGGGCCAGGCTGCTGTTGAATGGCGTGTCACTCTTCTGCTGGTGGGAGGGTCCACGGAGAGAGAGGGAGCCGCTGCGCCTGACCAAAGAGACTCTTTACGCACCGGAGAGGAAACAGCTGGGGCTCTCTGCCGCTTCCTAGAGGTTTGGAGTAGAAGGAGATCATTTGGAGCTGCAAAGTTTCTATGAAACCCAATGCTAAACAGGCTCGACTGGTCCTAGAAGGAAGTAGAGATGCATATTTGTTGTGTATGTATAAATAAACTTTGGTTTACGTTGGTTCTGGGCCAGCCAGTAGCCTGGTGGAGTTTTCTCCGTGGGGGGTATAAATTCAAAATGGACGTATACCAAAAACCAATTGTAACCACCCGCGCAAGGATGAAACAAACTCAGTCCTAAAAATATACGTTCTTTATTAAACAAATAGACAGAAAATCCTTTACCTCTCCTTCTACGAAACTGATAGCCTAGGGTAGACAATATAATATTTAAACTCTGACGTTAGTGGATGGCGGACAAACCCGCATAACCAGAACCAGAAAAGTCGCGCACGTATAAGGCTTCACAGCAATCAGGTGAAAAAAACACTACACACGATCAGCACTCGGCACTGCAGACGATCAGATGCAATATAACATTGTCTACCAGCTCACAGCCTCGTGGGAGAGTGAACAAGGAGAAAACAAACAGATCAATGAAAAAAGATTAAAAAAAAACAAAACAGTTAGTCCGCCCTCACAAGTAAACAACGGGACCAAAGACATCAAACAGGGTCGGACTAACTAAAAGAAACAAAACATAAACCTAAGGACAGCAGGAGCAACAAAAAAAACATCTCTGTAAACAAACAGAAAACACCAAATTACAAAAATAATACAATCAAAATATTATTTTAATAACTACCTTAAAATCTCAAAAAATACCTGTATCGCGTACACCACCCTCATCTGCCTGTATACACAGCCTGGTCTAAAAAACCTGCAGGGCCTCCTAACAAGGAAAAGAATGATTAAAATTTACATTCGTCATAATAAAAGTTCAATATAAGCACACTCTAAAAACACTCACCCACATTCTTGACAAATCTACGTGTGGAACCCAGATACGTCCTGGCGTCCCATGGAAACTGACACCTTTTAAGAAAGTTTGCAGCTTCCGCTTTTATACTGCTTGGACCACGCCCACCATACCACCTGTAACACAATCAAACGTATTTATCACACCAATATATTTATATGAATGCCAACAACAACAAACATTAGAAAAACACTTTATAAAAAGAAAATATAATTTTATATACAGGTTTACTTTTTGTACATAAATGTTGCCCTTCTAGGGCTTTCTGAAGGCAAACCTGTGTTTTAAATGGTCCGATATTGTGTCAGAAACCTGAAAAAATATACCAGTTTAATAATGGAGAAGCTATTAGTCTGCTTTATATTTTTAATATATAAATAACTATTTATTTTCTGAGAATGTGTTTATTTATGAGCAACTATTCAAATTAACAAACGCTTAGAAAAAGTACACTATATTATAATATTTTCCATGTGAATTCCACCATCTAAAACTAAAAACAACATGTGGACTCACCTCAAACATCAGCCCGAGCAGGAAAACCATAGCAACACTCTGCCATAGACCTCCATTATTTGAATGTCAGCAGACAGCAAGAAGCCTCCCAGATCTCCAGATGCATTTGAGATATCAAAAAAGTACTCCAGAGTGTTGTTCAGCATGGGGGTGAGTAGAAAATGAAGGCTAATCATGTTTTGGGTGTACTATTCCTTTAATGCTTCTTTGCCTTTTCTAAAAAGTGCTTTAAGTCAGTCCTATATGTCTTTATCCATGCTGGGTCAGATCCTGACGATTGAAAAAGGAGGCGGGCTGTCAAAGCAGCATAATGAAGTATTAGCCTCGCTACATGCAGTTAGCCAAGCCTTCTTTTCTCCAGTCTCAAACTGGTTCCAGAAAGGGCCGTGTGGCTGCAGGTTTTCTCTCCAACCAAGCAATAGCACACCAGACTCCAGTCATCTCATCAATTGAGTCCAGGCTTAACATGATTACTTGATGAGATGAATGGAGTCTGGTGAGCTATTGCTTGGTTAGAAAGAAAACCTGCAGCCACACGGCCCTTTCTGGAACCAGTTAGAGACCCCTGGTTTAGACCAAGATTTCATGGTTCTGCAGACAGAAGGCTGAGTAATGAAATAATTATTTTGCATGGCTGCGTCTTCTCATTGCACCCCAGCACCATCTGCCAGGACATTTTGCTTTGGTTCCTGAACCAATCAGAGAAATCTGCTGCTCTGTCGTCTATGAGGCAGCTTTCCGGCCTCCGAGAGCGTAAGAATGATGTGGCGGTGGGGTTCCAGTTTAGGGCGGGCGCTGATGGAGGCGTAAGGCTCAACTGCAAACAGACCTGCAGGTGGAGACCACAGCAGACTTACAGTCCTCTAAGCAGCCTTTAAATGTCAACGTAACAGAGTTTCTTCTGTACGAGAAGCTGTCCAGTGAGCAGTGGAGGCTGGAGTGTCTGATGCACCTGCTGGCTCAGCTCAAGGACTCAGACCTACCTGGGGATTTCTTCCTGGAACTGCTGCAGGTAGAGAAGCTCCCACTAGAGTCAGTCCAACCTTGTACACTAAAAAAAATTGCATTTATAAAGAAAATATGCAGAATGTTCTGCAGTATTGCACATTCCATGCCCACGGTGGGCAAATATTTATGCAATTAGATAATATTCAGACTGTCATATATTACTATGTGCACAAAAGTTCTACTGGCTGTGTGTCAGAACAACATATAAGTGTGAATCGAACTCAAATGATGGTCAAACTGATAATTCTGCACATACATGGAATAAATTCACCACAACTTCTATTACAATATAAGGGTTTATTAACAAAATCATTTAGCTCCAAGTCCGACAGATTTAAACTAAGCTAATATAAACACAAAGAACACGGAATAAAACTGGAAGTGAAGCAATGATATCACAGTTCAGCAGGATTTTTTTTGGAGAACTAAAGTTTATCTATGGTGGGCATTTGTTAATATCCCAAAAATCTTAAGCAGAGTCAAACTTTACAGAATGGCACCACTTTGTGGTGAAATTCTGCTATTACACACCAAGGTCTCCTAGGCCCGGTAAACCATTTATATTTAAATATATATATTAAATACACTCAGAATTGGTTTTGAGTAGTAGTATACTATATATTTTTTTTATTATTTTATATACTCTAATAATCCCAGAGGGAAATTGCTTCTCTGTATTTTAAGCCATCCCCTTGGGGAGCAGTGGGCTGCCATTGTGCCCCGGGGAGCAGTGTGGGTTTAAGGGTCTTGCTCAGGGAGCCAGAGTGACAGTCTGTTAGAGTGGGGGACCGAACTCACAACCTCAGGATTCCAAGCCCTATGCCCTTACCACTAGGCCGCCACTCCCCTTAATTATTATTAATTATTTATAAAAGAACAGATATAATCCATCCATCTTCATCTGCCCTCCAGCTTGTCCTGGGTCTCCTCCTGGGCCTCCTCCCAGTGGGACGTGCCTGGAACACCTCACCAGGGAGACATCCAGAAGGCATTCTAGTCAGATGCCCGAGTCACCTCAGCTGGCTCCTCTCGATGTGGAGAAGCAGCAGCTCTACTCTGAGTCCTCCCCCTATCTCTAAAGGAGAGCCCAGACACACTACGGAGAAAACTCATTTCAGCCGCTTGTATCTGGGATCTCATTCTTTCGTTCATGACCGTAGATGAGGGTCGGAACGTAGATCCACCGGTAAATCGAGAGCTTTCCTTTTTGGCTCAGCTCTCGATATAATATATATCAAGATAAATATATATATATATATATATATATATATATATATATATATATATATATATATATATATATATATATATATATAGATAGATCAACTTAACTTAATCAATCAACTTAACAAGGTAAGTAGGTAATCCTTAAATAACTCTGCATTAGCTGCCTGTTAAGACAGAATGTAGCTCAATTTTATTTCTTCCTGAGTATTTCTACCAATGTCTTGAGTAACAGAAGATATTTACTTACATTTTGTTGTTGACGCTTCAGCAATCCCTTACCCTGAGCATACATGTAGCAACAGTAGAGAGAGGAATAAATCTCCAGCAGATCCAGTCTCAGTGGGAGTGGCCATCTACTGAGGCCAACTGGGGGTTCAAGGCGATAGAAGCAGACAGAGAAAATTAATATAGAAGCAAAAATCCATAAATACTTTTTATGCTTGAAAAGGTAACTGTAAACTAGCTCCACAGGGGGCTCTGTAAGCCCTGAGCCAGTTTTAACAAGAATTATTTAAAATTAGTCATAGTAAAAGTCATTAGTAAAAGCTTAACTTGTAGCCATGATTAAATTATTATTATTATGATTAGGAGAGAAACAGAACTAAATACAAAAGAAAAAAAACAGGCCTAGGTCTATCATCTCTTTGGTTATAGATGATAAACCATAATTGAAGGTTATAGATAATAGAGTTGGATATTGTCACAGCCAGATGGGAACAGACCAGATACGGAGTCTATGATAAGAAAAAGTAGAGATAACATAAAGTTAGTGGTTGAACTAACAAATAGAATGTCGATCAAACGAGAAATCAGAAAGATGTAAAGTGGTCCCTATGTCTTCCAGCAGCTTAAGCCTATAGCAGCATAACTATAGAGATAGCTCAGGTTAACCTGAGCCAATCTAACTATCAAAGCTTTATCAAAAGGAACGTTTTAAGCCTACCCTTAAAAGTAGACAGGGTGTCTGCCTCAGGGACTAGAACAGGTAGTTGGTTCAACAGGAGAGGAGCCTGATAACTTAAAGATCTGGCCCCATTCTACTTTTTGAAATTCTATGAGCATCTCAGTGTGCAGATTGCAAATCTCAACCTGCAGATTGAGAGAGGTTGTCTGTTAGGAACGTAAGTAACAATCATATCTCTGATATAACATGAAGCTTGGCTTTTTAGAGCTTTATATCTGAGAAGGAGGATTTTAAATAATATTCTGGATTTAACAGGAAGCTAAC